TTCGGTGTACCGTTGTTCACGGCAGTTTACCATCGTTTGCGCTGTGTTTATTTCTCCAGATTGTCGCTGTCTTGTCTAGCCGTTTATGACCACCACGCTGGATCACCGTTTATCTCTGTTGACCTAGGTTTGCTCTTGCGCACTGTACACGTGGACGACAGTTCATGGTTCTCAGAGGTTTACGTGGTGTTTGTGTTTGGGGGCTTACGAGCGTTTTCATTGGTCGGCTGTTTTAGACCGATATGGCGATAGATCGGGAAATGTGGGGCTTGTTGCCAACCAACACTTCGTACGTAGATTCTCCTTTGCGTGAAAATGTCGGTCGATTGTTGCCACATCATCCAAGTTTCGGTAACTCATTATGTAACCAATTTGCAGTCATGCAATTTATTGAACAGTTGTACTATGTGCTATGTTTTTTATTGGCTTTTCGTTTTTGGTTATTTTGTATGTTACCACAAGAGTTTAATAATATTTTCCTAACATTGATTACTTTTTAACATAGTTTCCAACATGTCATGCCTATATCATGACTTGTGCAATTATATTATTGTTTTGATTACATTTCTCCATCATGTAAAAGATTTTGTTATGAATGTATACTGTGTTGTTTGTAATATTATGTTGATATTGTAGATTTTACTTAGTGGTTTTCTATCTGGTTTGGTTGTTTTTAACATATAGATGTTCCCTGTCTTGTCACGAAGCTAGATGTGGATAAGCAATTTTTGTTGTTTATTTTGAAACAAATTATTCTCTGCCAAGAAGCCCCGCATCTCACGGTTCATCAATTCGCGCATTGAACGTGTTTGGGGTCCACAATTATTGGTGAATCTTGTCTGAATCGTGCATGAACGTTGTGCACCGTTTAATAACAACAGTGTACCTTACGTCACCGCTTTGAGCCCCATTATATCGCGCTGTCAGAGAAAGCCCCATTCGTGCGCGACTCCGTCACTCCTCCATCCACACTCCACCTATCCCTGAAATTCACTGCATAATTCACTCGACATTTAGGCCACTCTGTTTCCAGAAACGTGAATGTGGCTTCCCCCGTAGAGATAACGCAACAACCGTCTGTTGCCTTAGCAGCCGCGTCCCGCTAAGCTGCGACGAATCTGCAGCAGCTGAAGCAACGGCGATACCCATGGTTTTGCATCTACACTGATATCCAGCGCGATTTACAGCTTCACTATTTGCACCATCGTCACGACACCTGCGGTGCGTCGTAAATACCCTACTCAACAAAATTCAAATCGTCAAAACATTGTTCATAGAATGCCTCGGCAATGTTTGAAGTACTACCAGGGTAACAATGTTGTTGGTTTATCTAGAGGAATGCTCAAAAGTCGAGGTTTCTTCAAAGAATCATTGGAAAGTGTGCATGAGCAATCTTCAAGCAGGTTCGGCAAGCAGTGCGCCAGCATACGAACAGCATTGCTCATCCTCACTACAGCAACAGAAACAAATCGTATAGGAGCCCTTTATAACGAATTGATTTATCACAGTACACTCAGGTTAACACAACCAACAAAAATATGTATACGGTAATCTGGTAAAATGCAAAATGAGTAGGCACTCCTGAAGTTGTAAAATCGTGACTCATGAATTACATGATTTGCTGAGGATTGTATCTTACGTATGTCTTATATTTCAACTCTATCCACATCAGAGACAAACATTATTACAATACCTGGTCGGCCTTACCAATTACAGACTCCTAAATACCGTGCACAACATCCACACATTACAAGTTTCATGCAATAATGATACACAGTAGCTTATTTCGAGCAGGACGAGAGTTCTGCACACCGTAGCATACGCAGCAGAGTTAGGTCAACACAGCAAAAAACGACATGAACCTACCGATCAGTCATGCCATATGCAAGGTAGATGCACTGCTCGACTGTCCTTAAGGAACCGCGATGAACTTCTCAACGTCTGGCGAAAAAGCTTCCGGAGGGTATCAACAATTTGGCGACAATATTCTCGAATGCTCGACGATAATCTCGGAAGTCGCTGCTATAAGCGTTGTCATGCGCATATGTATTCTGCAACAAGATAGGTACCTGCATTAGCGAATGCGTTCTTGCATGGAACAAAAACTCATCTGCTTAGCGCATAACTGGATCAGCGAGCGTAGAGCGTAAGATGGAAGCGTCGTCAGAAGTTTTGTTCAGCCTGGGCGAAGTTCACCGGTGAGATCGTACGCCACAACGGTTCTTTTATATCCTGGTGGAGGAGGGATGCACGAAAAGAATATAGACATATTTTAAGAATATGTACATTACGAAGGAACGGATAGAGTGCAGCAGCCATTGTCACGTGCAATCCAGTGTGCGAGGAAAGTAGAGTCTGAATATTTTCAAGAGAAAATGAACCTGTGTTGCTCTGTCAGTGGATTTTGAGTTGCGAGGGAGAGAGATAGATGTTCCATGGGGTGGCCGTTCTGTGGTGAGGTGTTGAGTCGCACGTAGTGATTGTCGAAATGTTGACGAATGAGCTTGCGAACTTGTCGAAACCTGTTGTTGACCTACGGATTCAGGGGCACCATGACGATGCCTAGCGAATACATGGAAACCCTACCCGTTTTTAGTTTTTGTTCGCCCACGCTTGTCCAAATCACATTCGTGCTGTCACATCTGATTTTGACAACGCACCTGAAGTGTCGCAGTTTTCTGACATGTCAGCATAGCCTTATCTAACTCTACTGTCGATATAGTCTGTTCTGTTATTACGCCACGAAATTCCCGTTGATTCGAATTCTGACTTCAGTGAGATTAGTGCAAGCTCGTCACCACTGTACATCCGCCACAACCGAAGTAAATATTCTGTACCAAACCAAATTGGCACGTGCGGGGCGGGTTGGATGCGAACTTGCTGACGGCAGCAGATACAATGGGGAAGGGGGTGCATTGTTTAGCATTTCGCCAGCATAGTTTCTTCACTGCTAACCCTCCTAAACACTCTTCCAAGTGACCTCAGGCATTGCTCGTGCAATGGTCGGGGCGCATAGATAGGGAAAGCCCATATTTGGGCACTGTATGTGGGCTCGCGAATTTTGTTGAGTAGCTCGAACTGGAATTGCCCACAGCAAAAGAGCTCCAAGCAGCGTCACTGCGTCGCCGCCGCAAGAGACGTTAAGGCCGGGCGAATGCCATAAGGTGCTAAATCTGATTATCGGGCGAATCGCACGACAGCAATCCCAGAAGCGACCCCGCAAAAGACCGGGACATTGGCGAAAGCGGATCAGCGGCGACACGGACTGCAACACGATAATTTGCGACAAGCACGGCATAGAGAGGTGGCGTAGGGGGAGGCGGTGCCTCTCTCTTTTGACGGAGCTTGGTGCAACAAGCGACGTGACGCGGTCGCGAAAGGACCAGAGAGAGGGCACATACGTGTCCACGACTCGAAAAGGTGAGCTCTCTGACGGCAATTCTACCTCCCTCCCTTTCACGAACCTACCGCCCCACATAGTGCTCACGCCGTGTCAATCCTGAGTTGTAGGCGCCGGCAACTGCATCAGCAAATCCGCGTTTGTCATTGACGTGACGTGAACGAACATAGCATAGCGAAGTAGCATGTATGTTCTTTACCGCTCCCCGACTCTCTCTCTCTCTCTGCCCCCCTCCCTTGCTCTCTCTCTCTCTCTCTCTCTCTCTCTCTCTCTCTCTCTCTCTCTCTCTCTCTCTCTCTCTCCATCCCAAAACATTGAAGCGACTCGACAAAGTACCTACTGCGGGTTTCCATAGTCGGGGCATTGTAACAGCTAGGGCTACGTATATACAGGTTTTTCTACAAGCCCCCTACTCCCACCGCAACGAGAAGGTCGGCTCATTGCATGTGGTCAGTGCCTACTTCCCCTCGTGATGGTTGGGACATGCTACATGTATAGCCCCGACTGCTATACTCGGTTACAGGATACAACGGGGTCTGGACTACATCTGTACATTGTAATCCGGGACAACTAGCTTCACACTAACTACATGCTATGTCCAGAGGGGCTTTAAGGCCTACACATAAAAACAAGCACGTAACAGTTACGCAGTCACACGGTTACAATGTTACTGACAACACATAATATTACGCTGTTACATAGTTGCCTGGTAGCCCATTTGATGACATGGTTACATTGTTATGAGGATTACAAAAGTATTAGATGCGGGACTGTAGTTTTAAAAGAACTGAAATCCAATATATTAGGGCGCTGGCGCAGGGCAGGGCGCTGGCGCAGGGCAGGGCGCTGGCGCAGGGCAGGGCGCTGGCGCAGAGCAGGGCAGGGCGCTGGCTCAGGGCAGGGCGCTGGCGCAGGGCAGGGCAGGGCACTGGCACAGGGCAGGGCGCTGGCGCAGGGCAGGGCGCTGGCGCAGGGCAGGGCGCCAGTGCGTGCAGGGCAGGGCAGGGCAGGGCAGGGCAGGGCGCGCGCTGACAGCGCAGCGCAGGGCAGGGCGTGGGGTAACGCGGTAACCGTAGTCGATCACTAGGTAATGGTGGGCCCGAAAAAAAAACGGTCCTACGGACCTACTGCTCTGAAACCATGTTAAGAATTAACAAGCAGGAATGGTGTAAAATATCGAGAGAGTTGGTACAAGTACAAAACCTAAAGGGGTTGTACCCCATGTTGGCTACCCCACTATAGCCTACCCATTATACCATAGCATATATATAGTTTGACAACATCCACAGTGACTTCCCCCTCCCACACAGTTCTTCTGTTATGTATCTCCACTCGTGAGGTGAGCCAGCACTTGCGTTGGTGTTCCTACGGCTAAAATGTAAGGGGGGCAAAAATGTTAGGGAGCAATTGAAAGTGGTCAGAAATGGGCAAGTGGGGTCAAGGAGAGGCAGATGAGGGGTCACAGAGCTTCGTAAGGGGGGAATACAAGGGGGGAAAGAGGCTAATCAGGAGGTGAATTGTTAAAACACAAGGAGGGAGTGGATGGAACAGAATGGGGTATGGAAGAAAGGCAGGGGAGATGTATCTGCACACGGGTGGGCTACTGAAGGAAGGCAGGGGGGGACGCTGGCACGCAAGATGGGAGAGGGAAGGCACTGAGGAGGGGAAACGGAGTGCCCTGAGGAGGGAACAGAATGCAGGTGGGGGACGGTAGGATGGCAGCAGGGGGAAGGCAGGATGGCAGGGGAGAATAAATGCCGGGCAGGGCGGGGTAATAAGCTAGCTTAGCACAGGGAGAGAGGAACAGATGGGGAAGAGGGGGAAAATGGGAAATAGGGGGGGTATATGCAACAGGGGTTGAAGAGAGGGGAAAATACGATGGCATGCAGTGGGGTATTGCAAGGCAGACCAGCGATTGTGGGTTAGCACAGGGGGTTCAGGAATGGCAGGCAGGGTTTGATTGAAAAGCACTCTGGGGGGATTGGAAGGCACTGAGGGGTAAATTGAAAGGCATTGATACAATTTCTACCTTCAAAAAGCACCCACCAACACAACAGTACCCACCAGCACAGCAGCACCCACCAACACAACAGTACCCACCAGCACAGCAAGCATCCACCAACACAGCAAGCACCCACCAGCACAGCAAGCACCCACCAACACAACAGTACCCACAATCACAGCAAGCACCCACCAACACAGCAAGCACCCACCAGCACAGCAAGCACCCACCAACACAACAGTACCCACCAGCACAGCAAGCACCCACCAGCACAGCAAGCACCGACCAACACAGCAAGCACCCACCAGCACCGCAGCACTCACCAACACCATTGCAGCTGAAGGAGCGGACACGATATCCAGGAAAGTTGCTGTTGCACGCTCACATGCAGAGAGGAGAGCAACACAGGGTGGGGGGAATGCATTGCACACGGGAGAGGAAAAGGGATCATAGCGAAGGAAGCAGAGTGAGCAAGTAGCTGGGGTATGGGTTAAGTGCCCGTGTGCACACAACCCAATACACTAGAGGGACGTGGCATGGGAGGGAGCAAAGGAACAAAGGCAAGTGGCAGCAGGGTCATATTTCCTATCAGTATGGCATCTCATCAAGTTTGAACAACAGAAAAAAGGCTGCCCATATTTTTACCCAAGCGTCTAGCGAACGGACGCGGGACGCTCCACCCCTAGAGCGTCAGATAAAAATGGGAAAATGACCTTTAGTCAGTGTGGGAAACTCGACGAGGTTTCTGTTTTGTTAACTAGCAGCCGACTCAATACTCAAACTTAAGGTCAAGGGTTTTGATCAGAAAAAGAAAAAAAAATCAAAAAAGTCGTAACCCGTGTTTTTTTACTACCTAACATTTCGAATCTCCTATCCTAGAGTCAAGTATGGTGTCAGGCTGCAATTTGCGACTCACTCATAACCAAGGGCACTCTGTCCGATGGCACTGTACGAAGCGTACGCTCCAACACACCCCTCCTGGGTGTACTAGTTCGACTTTTGAGGCGCCTCACAAGATGGTGCCGGGCTGCAATGTGTGCCTCTTGGCTAGCATGGGTGTAATGGACTGCAAACACAAGCGCTGTACCTCACTCTGTACCACCTGCGCGTTCACACTACGCTTATTCGAGGAGCGACAGGGAGTTTTTATGTACTCGATGTGCAAGTGCTCGTAGAGTTGTGCAGAGTAGTGGTCTGGCAAGCGTGAACGCCATATCGTATCTATGAAGTGGTTGACGAGATGCATCTTGATGAAGTTCCAGTTCGATGTCTGCGGGACGATAGGGTTGGGCACACATCTAGAATTAGTAGGCAGATTGCGGCAAGTCATAGTGCCTTGAATAGATAAGCAACTCACCGCTGTGCCTTGGTCTTCAACTCGTGCAGACTGCCATCGGTGTGCTCGCATGCACGTGCGCACTCCAAGTACCACTCGATGTACGATTTGGTCGTCCGTGATGCACCCTTTCGCAATAAAGGGCAGAACATGCATCACAGAACGATGCTCGAATGCTTGGTAATTGGCACCTTTGGCGAAGTATTCACCCGATGGCAGCCTCATGCATCCACCACGTGTGGACTTTCTAAGCTGTTTTAGTCGTTGATCTAGCAACTTCATCTTCCTGGGATAGTATTCCCTAATGTGCGCTCGAATGCTATCCACAATGTGCTCGAAAAGGCATAGGTCGGCTTGATGCATGATATCGGGAAGCACCGCAAGTTAAGGATTGAGCAAGCTCTCCGCTTCCCACCGCCATCCCCAAAGGTAGCTCTGCACGTAGAGAGCATATGATAGTTAGACGAGGATTATAACAGAATCCAAGAAGGAAAGGGAGTCTATAACCATACCTGGACCGGGTGAGTCGAAATGGCGGCATCGTCATCCGGCTTGATTGTCCTTGTCCGCACCGAGAGGACAAGGGCGCGTTGCTCCGATGGCGTCCGCGCTTGTATGCGGTCGGTGAACAATGCAAGCTTGTCCTTATGAACCTTGCATAGCGAGCAAGGAAAGTTCGTCGAGCCCGACTTCGTGCACGTTACCTTGCACGATTCCGGGTAATCCGTGACATGGGCATACATGGATGGCCACACGTTGATTGTTTTCCCCGCCGAGTCGACCATGTCTATACCCGTATGAGAAGCACGCTTCAACCCCGCTAGCACCTCATTCATGATGTGATGGAAGATCTGCGTCCTATCTAGGGAATCATACTCTTCGGGATACTCCGGGAGCAAGGCAAGCAAGACGTGCCCATAGGGCTTCCACCTATCATCCTTGTCAATATTCCCTAGTGTCAAATACACTACATGCCCTTTAGCCTTCCCACACTGATCCATATGGGTCTCATCACTTGCAAGAATGAGAGCAGCGACAACACCTTCTGGTTGACTTCACGTATCTTCTCTTGAAGCTCCTCCCACCATAGGGCGGTTTCGGGTGTTGAGAAGACTCGCATGACTCCATCTTTAACGACACGGGCCTCCATGCTCATCTTTGGAGCGACCTTGGGGTCCTTAAGTAGATCCTGAAGTGCGATGAGTCCATCACAGTACCAATACTCGATCCACGCCTTGTTCCCCGCTCGAACGGTATTGCGTTTCCAACCGCGATGCTTATCCGGGGCCCGTGATTCGACGTACTGTTGGAGATTGCGCGCAGACTTCCATCCTGTCAGCTGAGAGAGCTCAAATGCATGGTGGAAGAGAATGTCAAACAGGGCTTTGATTGCCTTTTGGGAGATATTGTTGGATAGCAACCAATGCGCGAATGCATCCCTGTCGTTGAAGGGTGGTTCGGGCGACGTTGCAGCTCCTACGTTCTCAGGCAACACATTCCCATCACTTCCCTCCTGGATGTCCTCACGCTCTATATAATCATCAGCATCACATGGTAAACTAGCATTCTTGGAATCACTAGAACTACAGTTGCTAGAAGCAATATCATCCAAATGCTCCCCGGTCAAAATGTCTGCCCCTGTACATGGCACTGGAAGAGCATGTAGATGTTCGTTAAGAGGGGTTGTCGTGGGCACGGCTGAAGTCGATGCAACCGCAGTGGGAATAGGGTTGGGTGCTACGGTGGGTATGCGAGGGCGTTTATGCAACCCTGGGTTACTTGTTAAGTACGGCGTAGGTGTCATTGCGCGCTTTGCAGGGCAGCTTGAGCTACGCATGTGACTCTCCATGCCCTGTTGGGTCAAGAAGGTGTTGACCTTGCAGGCAGGGCACCGGTAGCTCATCTGAAATTTGGGAACACGTATGATCGAGAAGGACGGAGGGAGGTTGTAAAAGAGAGAAAGAGAAGGGGTGAGAGCGAGCATGAATGCGGGGGATTTGTGGAAGACTATGAAGTGAATGGGGCAGAGAGGAAGTGAATGGGGCAAAGAGGAAGTGAATGGGGCAGAGAAAGAGTGAATGGGGCAGAGAGGAAGTGAATGGGGCAGAGCGGGAGTGAATGGGGCAGAGAGGAAGTGAATGGGGCAGAGCGGGAGTGAATGGGGCAGAGAGGGCGTGCAGGGGGCGAGATAGGAAACTTGGAGAGGTGGGGGGGGGGGGGGGGGGTGTTGTTTTGAGATACCTTGACGAATCACACAGGGAACTGAACAGCTCTTCGCTCCACGAGGAGTGTTCGGAGTGTCACCGCTGCTCCAACAGGCAGCCCCCCCTACGGTGTACTGGCCAGGGAGATGGGGGGAAAGGGTGTGACAGAGCAAGTGGGGCTGTCGGAGAGCTAGAGCGGCAATGAGCGGGAATGCGAGAGTGGCAGAGATAGGGAGCGCGAGATCGGCAGGGAGAGAGAGAGAGCATGCGGCAGAGTGAGAGAGAGAATGCGGCAGGGCGAGTGAGAGAATTCGGCAGCGAGCGAGAATGCGGCAGCGAGCGAGAATGCGGCAGCGAGCGAGAGAATGCGGCAGCGAGCGAGAGAATGAGGCAGCGAGTGAGAGAATGCGGCAGCGAGCGAGGATGCGGCAGCGAGCGAGGATGCGGCAGCGACCGAGAATGCGGCAGCGAGCGAGAGAATGCGGCAGCGAGCGAGAATGCGGCAGCGAGCGAGATAGAGAGAATGCGGCAGCGAATAGAATGCGGCAGCGAGCAAGAGAATGCGGCAGCGAGCGAGAGTGAGAATGCGGGAGGGAGGGAGAGAGAGAGAGAGAGAGAGAGAGAGAGAGAGAGAGAGAGAGAGAGAGAGAGAGAGAGAGAGAGATCCGATTAGTACCCGGGATAAGACGGCTGCCAAGGGAAGGGGATGGGCAGCACGGGAGCAGGCGGATAAGAAGATTAAACACTATGAAAGCCGGCCTGACACGGTGGGCTTTTTCCCCCTTGCTGTTGAGACCTACGGGTGCCCGTGTGCGGAGGTGCCCGTGTTCCTGAAACTGCTGGCGGACTCTGCTGCTAGGCGTCACTTCAACGCTGAACCTAACTCATTTCATGCAGCCAGATTCCTCCATCTTTTCAGGCAGAGGTGGTCCGTGGCGCTGCAGAGGGCCCAGTCAGTGGGGTTCCTCATGAAGACGTGTCAAGCCGCTATGGCAGAGCACCCACCTGTTGGGGGGATGCAGCAGGAGCTCCACCTGGGTGATTGCCTCACCGTGATTGAACCTCTGGTGGAGGTTTAGGGAAAGGTGACAAAAGTGTTGGTTAGGATGTGTGGTAGTATGTTTCTAGTGTGCCCTTAGGCTTGTCTAATCTTTGTCATCTTACTTGCATGCTTGTACCTTGCTGCTATATCAATACACGGACCATTAGAGAGAGAGAGAGAGAGAGAGAGAGAGAGAGAGAGAGAGAGAGAGAGAGAGAGAGAGAGAGAGAGAGAGAGAGGGAGAGAGAGAGAGAGATAGACCACACCAGAGAGAGATAAGGAGGGGGAGAGAGAGAGAGATAGAGAGAGAGAGGCCAGGCCGTGCTGGCCCTGGAGTCAACGCCCGTCTGCACCCCGAGCCCGGAAATTTTGGAAGAGCTGCGCCAAAAGCACCCGCCAGCAGTACACGAAGCAGTGACCTGGCCCGAGCCACCCGAGTCAAAGCTTTCCATCACCCACGCTGAGTTTGCCAAGATTCTGGGAAGATGCGAGAATGGGGTGGGAGCTGGACCTTCGGGCACGACATTTGAGCACCTGCGCGACGCGGCGATCACCAACGCGACGGTCAGCACCCATCTGCACGCCTTGGTCAACACCATGTTAGGAGGAAATTTGCCAGGCCCGGTCGCAAAAATTCTGACTGCGTCACGGCTCATAGCTCTGGCCAAACCTGGGGGAGGAGCCCGGCCAATCGCGATAGGCGAATGTTTGACAAGGCTGACAGCCAAGGCAGCCCTGATAGCCATGGGTGAAGCTGCCCGCGAACATTTCCTGCCACTTCAGTATGGCGTGGCAGTGCCAGGTGGAGCAGAGGCGGTAATCCACGCAGACAGGGCTTTCTTGGACGCCCGTCCCAACAGCCTGGTCCTGCAAGCCGACATTTCAAATTCATTCAACATCATTTCGCGACATGCCATCGCTAATGCGTTACAAGAGTCCGGACTCTCGCCTCTGCAGCCGTTTTTTAATCTGACCTACGGTAACCCGTCGCAACTGCTCCTGGACGCCAATTTCAACTGCGAACCGCTGCAAAGTGAACGGGGCGTTCGGCAGGGGGACCCCCTAGGCCCGTTACTGTTTGCAGCAGGGATACACCCCGCGTTCTGTGAGTTTGCAGAGGCACACCCAGACGTGCTTTGCTTGGCGTATGCGGACGACGTCACATTCCTGGGTGACACATCGTGCACTGTAGCAGCTTTCACACATTTCACACCCAAGCTAGCACATCTGGGCCTAATGCATAATCCGCAGAAATGCGCGGCCTGGAGCTCAACCACAGTCACACAAGTACAACTCCCGCCCGGTGTGCCGTTTTCCAAGGACGGAGTGCGGCTCCTGGGTAGTTACGTAGGGACGGACGCTGGAGCAGCCAAGTTCCTATCAGGACAGCTAGACGAGATGGCGAAGCCGTTACCGCTTTTCGAACGTGCCGACCCCCAGGTAGCCGCACTGCTCCTCACGCGATGCATCTCCAGACGAGTAGCCTACCTCATTAGAACGACACCGCTCCGCCTTCTCCCCCGCGACACCTGGAGCCAGTGGGGTCGGGACCTGCTCGTTACCTTACTCACCTCATGCGACATCCGCCTGCCAACGTGCCGCACCGAGCAAGTGCGTGTGTGGGAACAGGCGTCGCTGCCAACGTCGCTAGGCGGCATAGGCATCACAGACCCGCTCATAGAAGGAGTCTACGGTTTCACAGCGAGTTTCACCCAAGCGGCGCTATTCCTGTCCTCCCTGGCGCTAGAACCAGAGAACGCCTTGACGATCGCTCGGAACCATATGCTACTGCCAAGGGATGACAGCACACCGATGCATTCATGGCTCACGGAGTGCGAAGCGGCCCTGCCACTAGACGCGCGCGAGATCCTGGAGAAAGAGCGGCTGGAGCGATCGGATATTAGGCTACAACACGTGCTCGGGCTAAAGGTGCACGGAAGCAGATACGCCGTGCAGGTCCAGGCAACCAGGCGCATGCGGCTGAACCCACTCTCAGGCCACACGCAGCGGATGTTCTCGCTGACCGGATATGGCACCGGTGATTGGCTCACCGTGATCCCCATTGAAGCCACGAGGCGGATAGGCCCCGTGCACTTCGCCAACGCCGTTCGCTTTCGTCTGGCCCTCCCTTTTTCAACCCCTAAGAACTGCGACTGCGCAGACCAGACAGCTATCATTGATCCCCGCCTGCCGAACCATCTCCTCCGCTGCGGCTTGGGCAAGCATCGCATTAACACTCACAACGAGCTACGAGATGCGTGCATTAGCATGGCGCAGCACGCCGGATTCATAGATCACGGCGAGTCGGCCGTCCACTGCCCTATCGAGGAACAAACCGCCGATTTCACCTTGACGGATAGAAGCAGTGGGGCGGTTTACGTTTGTGATGTCACCATCACAGACCCCATAAGCACAAGGGACCCAGAGGCGCAGAAAGGCAGGGGATGGGCGGCACGGGAACAAGCAGATAAGAAGATCAAGCATTATGCCAACCGGCCGGAGACGGTTGGTTTTTTCCCACTGGCAGTAGACACCTATGGCTGCCCATGCGCGGAAGTTCCAATCTTCCTAAAGCGACTCACGGTTTGCCACACGGGGGGCGAGATCTCCATGCACCAGGGACCAGGGTACAAGGCATCAGCTGCATTCACCGCAGCTTCTTTTCTTGTTTGTTGGCTGATTTGGTCAATTAATTGTGTTGTTGGTTGGCTATGTAATTTGATTTTGTTTGTTCTTTGTGGGGCTGGTTACAGCTGTAGCGTATCTCAATAAGGGATTGTACCCCTCAGAGTACATGACTAGCTTAAAACTCTTGCTGTGCTTCTATATTTAGCATCTGTTTGTTGTGTCATTTTTTTTTTTTTTTAATTGATTGGTGATTGTTCTGATTCACGAGCAAGATTTGCCAGCAGCATTGCAGTTGCTGATTTTCAACAGCTGCAATCATGCCGTTACTAGAACTTGGAAGAACATATTGTCTTGCCTTCCCATTTGTCATGCAGTGTACACGCTCTAATCTTTACGCATGAGCTGCGGATGCTTAGGATCTCAGCCCTTTCATGTACCGTCTTTTCCTGGATATATAAGACCCTCCGGGCTTCCTATAAGAGAGTGCCCCGGTTATGTAACTGCAAGACAAGACATCAAACTATCAGCTTGTCCAACATTTTCCTGCACGGCTTCCTATTACCGTATGTCAACTCATTGTATCTGTCAAATTTATAGCATAGTTCTTACTTAGCCTATAGTGAGATGCATCTTAGGGGGTACAACAATTCTCTCGACACTTGGTCTTGTACCCCTCCCTTGACCTAATCTCATCATTCCATCCTAAGATTCTAACATGGTATTAAGAGCTAGGACGGTCCTAGCCTAGGACCGTTTTTTTTAGCTAGGACGGTCCTAGCCTAGGACCGTTTTTTTTTTTTTTAAGGGCCCACCACATTCGTTTCCCTCTGCCCGGCATAGGTTTTTCCCCTGCCCGGCCGTTCGTTTCTGCCCTGCCCAGCGCTTTCGCGCTGCCCTGCCCTGTCCTGTCGCGCGCAGCCCGTACAGCCCGCACGCAGCCCGTGAGCAGCCCTTACAGCCCGCGTAAGGCCCGCGCGCAGCCCGTACAGTCCGCGCTAGGCCTTCGCGCAGCCCGTACAGCCCACGCCAGGCCCGCGCGCAGCCCGTACAGCCCACGCCAGGCCCGCGCACTGCCCGCGCCGCCCGCACGCCACTTGCCCGCTGCTCGCACAGTCCGCGCGCTGCCTGCTAGCTGGTGGCTCGCCGTCAGCTGCTCTGCGAGCCGCACGCTGCACTGCCCTGCCAAGCCGCATCTGCTGCCACTACTGCCAGTCACTGCCGCTGCTGCTGCCGGCCGCCGCCACTGCTGCCCTGCCTGCACGCGCTGCCAGTGCTGCCCTGCCCTGCCTGACAGCCGCTAGCACTGCCCTGCATGCTGCCCAGCACTGCCAAGCTGCTGTTCCTACCTACTGCTGTCGCCACTGCTGCCAGCCGCTGCCGCTGCTGCTGCTGGCCGCCGCCACTGCTGCCACTGCCGCTGCTGCTGCCGCTTGAGCTGCTGCTGCACTGCTGCTGCCCCGTGAGCTGCTGCTGTGCTGCTACTGCCGCTTGAGCTGCTGCTGCGCTGCTGCTGCCGGCTGAGCTACTCCTACTGCTCAGCTGCTGCTGCTGCTAGGCTGCTGCTGCCACCTGAGCTGCTGCTGCCACTTAAACAGCCGCTGCTACTGCACGCGCTACTGCTGCTGCTAGTGCCGCGCGTCTCCTTCTGACCTCTCCTTCTGCTGCTACTTGCTGCAGCTGCTGCTACTTGCTGTAGGTGCTGCTACCTGCTGCTGCTGCTGCTACTTGCTGCTGCCGCTGCTTCTGCTCCTGCTGCTGCAAGCGCTACTGCAGCCTGCCCCCTGCCCAGCCCGAGCCGTGCCGTCCAGCCCGAGCCGCGCTACTCTCCTCCTCCTGCTGCTTCGACTGCTACTGCTGCTGCTGCTGCTGCTGCTGCTGCTGCTGCTGCTGCACCCTGCCGAGTTGCGCCGCCCTGCAGCATTGCCCAGCCCCACCGAGCCGCCCTGCTATAGCTGTTGGCGCTACTGCTGCCACTGCTGCTGTTACTGCGCTAGCCCTTGCCCTGCTACCCACGTACTCTACTGGCCTCCACAGTCCCTGCAGCAGTCGCTACTACTGCCCTTGCGCCGCTGCTCCTGACTGCAACTGCCTGTCATGGCCACTATCACGGTAGTCGCAGCGGCTAGGGGTGGACAGCAGCAGCCACTGCCTCTCCCGAACAACGCCACGCCTCAGCAGCTACGTGAGTGGGTTGTTCAGCGAGGCAGACCTAGTGGTGGTGGTTTTGGCTTTATGTGGACTGGACAGCGGCGACAGCAGCGTCAGCAGGAGACCTTCTATCAGCGCTGCGTCCCTGCTTGTGTCGAGGCTGCTGCTCTAGGTGCTAGTGAGTCTGCTGCCACTCCAGGTGCGAGTGAGTCTGCTGCTGCTCTAGGTGCTCGTGAGTCGACCGCCGCTCCAGGTGCTAGTGCGTCTACTGCCTCAGCTGAGGCCTTGCACACTTTCACACTTGACTCAGGCGCGTCACGTTGCTTCTTTCGTGATTGCACCACAGTCACACCACTCGCAGCACCTGTCTCGGTCTCACTGGCTGACCCCACTGGGGGCCCAGTAGTTGCGCGAGCCTCCACTGTCCTCCCGTGTCCGGCAGTTCCCTCCGGATCTCTCCCAGGTCTCCACCTCCCCGCGTTCTCGACGAACTTGTTGAGCAATGCAGTTCTCCAGGATGTATGGGTTGACATATTCATTCCTGGAGGACAGCGTGTGGCGATCTGTACGTGCTCACGGAATGGCCGCCACCTTGCTACGTTCACTCGTCAGCCTGTGTCCGGTCTGTACACACTGACCACTGCGTCTGCACAAGTAGCTGAGTCAGGTCAGGTGACTGCGTCGAGTCGAGTGTCTGCGTCTGGTCCTGTCGCTGCGTCGAGTCAGTTAGCTGCGTCCTGTTCGTGCAGGGTACTCACGCACGAGACTCAGCGCTGGCACCACCGTCTTGGTCACCCCTCCCTGCAGCGTCTACGCAGCATGCACTCCTGTCTTCTTGTCTCTGGCCTTCCCAGGTCCCTGCCCCCCCTTCCGCGCTCGCTTGCCCCGCCGTGCCTTCCTTGCATCGAGGGGCGGCAGCGCGCCGCTCCTCACTCCTCCGAGTTTCCTCCTACCACCGCTCCTCTGCAGACTCTCCACATGGATGTGTGGGGCCCGGCCCCCATCGGTGGAACGAGTCAGGAGCGCTACTTCATGTTGGTTGTTGACGATTACACACGCTACACCACTGTCTTTCCCTTGCGTCGCAAGGCGGAAGTCAGCGATGTTTTGATCCACTGGATCCGTGCTACTCCTCTCCAGGTGCATGAGCGTTTTCAGCAGGACTTCCCAGTCTTGCGTCTACACTCTGATAGGGGCGGTGAGTTCTCTTCTGACCTCCTTGCGGAGTATTGTCGAGACGAGGGCATCCGCCAGACGTTCACGCTTCCGGCCTCTCCTCAGCAGAATGGGATTGCTGAGCGTCGCATTGGTTTGATCATGGAGGTTGCTCGCACCTCCATGATCCATGCGGCTGCTCCCCATTTTCTGTGGCCGTTTGCGGTCCGATACGCTGCGCATCAGCTCAACCTCGGGCCCCGTGTCTTGGAGCCAGAGACCTCGCCCACACTATACTTGGAGTGCGCACGTGCATGCGAGCACACCGATGGCAGTCTGCACGAGTTGAAGACCAAGGCACAGCGGTGAGTTGCTTATCTATTCAAGGCACTATGACTTGCCGCAATCTGCCTACTAATTCTAGATGTGTGCCCAACCCTATCGTCCCGCAGACATCGAACTGGAACTTCATCAAGATGCATCTCGTCAGCCACTTCATAGATACGATATGGCGTTCACACTTGCCAAACCACTACTCTGCACAACTCTACGAGCACTTGCACATCGAGTACATAAAAACTCCCTGTCGCTCCTCGAATAAGCGTAGTGTGAACGCGCAGGTGGTACAGAGTGAGGTACAGCGCTTGTGTTTGCAGTCCATTACACCCATGCTAGCCAAGAGGCACACATTGCAGCCCGGCACCATCTTGTGAGGCGCCTCAAAAGTCGAACTAGTACACCCAGGAGGGGTGTGTTGGAGCGTACGCTTCGTACAGTGCCATCGGACAGAGTGCCCTTGGTTATGAGTGAGTCGCAAAGTGCAGCCTGACACCATACTTGACTCTAGGATAGGAGATTCGAAATGTTAGGTAGTAAAAAAACGCGGGTTACGACTTTTGATTTTTTTCTTTTTCTGATCAAAACCCTTGACCTTAAGTTTGAGTATTGAGTCGGCTGCTAGTTAACAAAACAGAAACCTCGTCGAGTTTCCCACACTGACTAAAGGTCATTTTCCCATGTTTATCTGACGCTCTAGGGGTGGAGCGTCCCGCGTCCGTTCGCTAGACGCTTGGGTAAAAATATGGGCAGCCTTTTTTCTGTTGTTCAAACTTGATGAGATGCCATACTGATAGGAAATATGACCCTGCTGCCACTTGCCTTTGTTCCTTTGCTCCCTCCCATGCCACGTCCCTCTAGTGTATTGGGTTGTGTGCACACGGGCACTTAACCCATACCCCAGCTACTTGCTCACTCTGCTTCCTTCGCTATGATCCCTTTTCCTCTCCCGTGTGCAATGCATTCCCCCCACCCTGTGTTGCTCTCCTCTCTGCATGTGAGCGTGCAACAGCAACTTTCCTGGATATCGTGTCCGCTCCTTCAGCTGCAATGGTGTTGGTGAGTGCTGCGGTGCTGGTGGGTGCTTGCTGTGTTGGTCGGTGCTTGCTGTGCTGGTGGGTGCTTGCTGTGCTGGTGGGTACTGTTGTGTTGGTGGGTGCTTGCTGTGCTGGTGGGTGCTTGCTGTGTTGGTGGGTGCTTGCTGTGATTGTGGGTACTGTTGTGTTGGTGGGTGCTTGCTGTGCTGGTGGGTGCTTGCTGTGTTGGTGGATGCTTGCTGTGCTGGTGGGTACTGTTGTGTTGGTGGGTGCTGCTGTGCTGGTGGGTACTGTTGTGTTGGTGGGTGCTTTTTGAAGGTAGAAATTGTATCAGTGCCTTTCAATTTACCCCTCAGTGCCTTCCAATCCCCCCAGAGTGCCTTTCAATCAAACCCTGCCTGCCATTCCTGAACCCCCTGTGCTAACCCACAATCGCTGTTCTGCCTTGCAATACCCCACTGCATGCCATCGTATTTTCCCCTCTCTTCAACCCCTGTTGCATATACCCCCCCTATTTCCCATTTTCCCCCTCTTCCCCATCTGTTCCTCTCTCCCTGTGCTAAGCTAGCTTATTACCCCGCCCTGCCCGGCATTTATTCTCCCCTGCCATCCTGCCTTCCCCCTGCTGCCATCCTACCGTCCCCCACCTGCATTCTGTTCCCTCCTCAGGGCACTCCGTTTCCCCTCCTCAGTGCCTTCCCTCTCCCATCTTGCGTGCCAGCGTCCCCCCCTGCCTTCCTTCAGTAGCCCACCCGTGTGCAGATACATCTCCCCTGCCTTTCTTCCATACCCCATTCTGTTCCATCCACTCCCTCCTTGTGTTTTAACAATTCACCTCCTGATTAGCCTCTTTCCCCCCTTGTGTTCCCCCCTTACGAAGCTCTGTGACCCCTCATCTGCCTCTCCTTGACCCCACTTGCCCATTTCTGACCACTTTCAATTGCTCCCTAACATTTTTGCCCCCCTTACAGTTTAGCCGTAGGAACACCAACGCAAGTGCTGGCTCACCTCACGAGTGGAGATACATAACAGAAGAACTGTGTGGGAGGGGGAAGTCACTGTGGATGTTGTCAAACTATATATATGCTATGGTATAATGGGTAGGCTATAGTGGGGTAGCCAACATGGGGTACAACCCCTTTAGGTTTTGTACTTGTACCAACTCTCTCGATATTTTACACCATTCCTGCTTGTTAATTCTTAACATGGTTTCAGAGCAGTAGGTCCGTAGGACCGTTTTTTTTTCGGGCCCACCATTACCTAGTGATCGACTACGGTTACCGCGTTACCCCACGCCCTGCCCTGCGCTGCGCTGTCAGCGCGCGCCCTGCCCTGCCCTGCCCTGCACGCACTGGCGCCCTGCCCTGCGCCAGCGCCCTGCCCTGCGCCAGCGCCCTGCCCTGTGCCAGTGCCCTGCCCTGCCCTGCGCCAGCGCCCTGCCCTGAGCCAGCGCCCTGCCCTGCTCTGCGCCAGCGCCCTGCCCTGCGCCAGCGCCCTGCCCTGCGCCAGCGCCCTGCCCTGCGCCAGCGCCCTAATATATTGGATTTCAGTTCTTTTAAAACTACAGTCCCGCATCTAATACTTTTGTAATCCTCATAACAATGTAACCATGTCATCAAATGGGCTACCAGGCAACTATGTAACAGCGTAATATTATGTGTTGTCAGTAACATTGTAACCGTGTGACTGCGTAACTGTTACGTGCTTGTTTTTATGTGTAGGCCTTAAAGCCCCTCTGGACATAGCATGTAGTTAGTGTGAAGCTAGTTGTCCCGGATTACAATGTACAGATGTAGTCCAGACCCCGTTGTATCCTGTAACCGAGTATAGCAGTAGGGGCTATACATGTAGCATGTCCCAACCATCACGAGGGGAAGTAGGCACTGACCACATGCAATGAGCCGACCTTCTCGTTGCGGTGGGAGTAGGGGGCTTGTAGAAAAACCTGTATATACGTAGCCCTAGCTGTTACAATGCCCCGACTATGGAAACCCGCAGTAGGTACTTTGTCGAGTCGCTTCAATGTTTTGGGATGGAGAGAGAGAGAGAGAGAGAGAGAGAGAGAGAGAGAGAGAGAGAGAGAGAGAGAGAGAGAGAGAGAGAGCAAGGGAGGGGGGCAGAGAGAGAGAGAGAGTCGGGGAGCGGTAAAGAACATACATGCTACTTCGCTATGCTATGTTCGTTCACGTCACGTCAATGACAAACGCGGATTTGCTGATGCAGTTGCCGGCGCCTACAACTCAGGATTGACACGGCGTGAGCACTATGTGGGGCGGTAGGTTCGTGAAAGGGAGGGAGGTAGAATTGCCGTCAGAGAGCTCACCTTTTCGAGTCGTGGACACGTATGTGCCCTCTCTCTGGTCCTTTCGCGACCTCGTCACGTCGCTTGTTGCACCAAGCTCCGTCAAAAGAGAGAGGCACCGCCTCCCCCTACGCCACCTCTCTATGCCGTGCTTGTCGCAGGTTATCGTGTTGCAGTCCGTGTCGCCGCTGATCCGCTTTCGCAAATGTCCCGGTCTTTTGCGGGGTCGCTTCTGGGATTGCTGTCGTGCGATTCGCCCGATAATCAGATTTAGCACCTTATGGCGTTCGCCCGGCCTTAACGTCTCTTGCGGCGGCGACGCAGTGACGCCGCTTGGAGCTCTTTTGCTGTGGGCAGTTCCAGTTCGAGCTACTCAACAAAATTCGCGAGCCCACATACAGTGCCCAAATATGGGCTTTCCCTATCTATGCGCCCCGACCATTGCACGAGCAATGCCTGAGGTCACTTGGAAGAGTGTTTAGGAGGGTTAGCAGTGAAGAAACTATGCTGGCGAAATGCTAAACAATGCACCCCCTTCCCCATTGTATCTGCTGCCGTCAGCAAGTTCGCATCCAACCCGCCCCGCACGTGCCAATTTGGTTTGGTACAGAATATTTACTTCGGTTGTGGCGGATGTACAGTGGTGACGAGCTTGCACTAATCTCACTGAAGTCAGAATTCGAATCAACGGGAATTTCGTGGCGTAATAACAGAACAGACTATATCGACAGTAGAGTTAGATAAGGCTATGCTGACATGTCAGAAAACTGCGACACTTCAGGTGCGTTGTCAAAATCAGATGTGACAGCACGAATGTGATTTGGACAAGCGTGGGCGAACAAAAACTAAAAACGGGTAGGGTTTCCATGTATTCGCTAGGCATCGTCATGGTGCCCCTGAATCCGTAGGTCAACAACAGGTTTCGACAAGTTCGCAAGCTCATTCGTCAACATTTCGACAATCACTACGTGCGACTCAACACCTCACCACAGAACGGCCACCCCATGGAACATCTATCTCTCTCCCTCGCAACTCAAAATCCACTGACAGAGCAACACAGGTTCATTTTCTCTTGAAAATATTCAGACTCTACTTTCCTCGCACACTGGATTGCACGTGACAATGGCTGCTGCACTCTATCCGTTCCTTCGTAATGTACATATTCTTAAAATATGTCTATATTCTTTTCGTGCATCCCTCCTCCACCAGGATATAAAAGAACCGTTGTGGCGTACGATCTCACCGGTGAACTTCGCCCAGGCTGAACAAAACTTCTGACGACGCTTCCATCTTACGCTCTACGCTCGCTGATCCAGTTATGCGCTAAGCAGATGAGTTTTTGTTCCATGCAAGAACGCATTCGCTAATGCAGGTACCTATCTTGTTGCAGAATACATATGCGCATGACAACGCTTATAGCAGCGACTTCCGAGATTATCGTCGAGCATTCGAGAATATTGTCGCCAAATTGTTGATACCCTCCGGAAGCTTTTTCGCCAGACGTTGAGAAGTTCATCGCGGTTCCTTAAGGACAGTCGAGCAGTGCATCTACCTTGCATATGGCATGACTGATCGGTAGGTTCATGTCGTTTTTTGCTGTGTTGACCTAACTCTGCTGCGTATGCTACTGTGTGCAGAACTCTCGTCCTGCTCGAAATAAGCTACTGTGTATCATTATTGCATGAAACTTGTAATGTGTGGATGTTGTGCACGGTATTTAGGAGTCTGTAATTGGTAAGGCCGACCAGGTATTGTAATAATGTTTGTCTCTGATGTGGATAGAGTTGAAATATAAGACATACGTAAGATACAATCCTCAGCAAATCATGTAATTCATGAGTCACGATTTTACAACTTCAGGAGTGCCTACTCATTTTGCATTTTACCAGATTACCGTATACGTATTTTTGTTGGTTATGTTAACCTGAGTGTACTGTGATAAATCAATTCGTTATAAAGGGCTCCTATACGATTTGTTTCTGTTGCTGTAGTGAGGATGAGCAATGCTGTTCGTATGCTGGCGCACTGCTTGCCGAACCTGCTTGAAGATTGCTCATGCACACTTTCCAATGATTCTTTGAAGAAACCTCGACTTTTGAGCATTCCTCTAGATAAACCAACAACATTGTTACCCTGGTAGTACTTCAAACATTGCCGAGGCATTCTATGAACAATGTTTTGACGATTTGAATTTTGTTGAGTAGGGTATTTACGACGCACCGCAGGTGTCGTGACGATGGTGCACACAGTGAAGCTGTAAATCGCGCTGGATATCAGTGTAGATGCAAAACCATGGGTATCGCCGTTGCTTCAGCTGCTGCAGATTCGTCGCAGCTTAGCGGGACGCGGCTGCTAAGGCAACAGACGGTTGTTGCGTTATCTCTACGGGGGAAGCCACATTCACGTTTCTGGAAACAGAGTGGCCTAAATGTCGAGTGAATTATGCAGTGAATTTCAGGGATAGGTGGAGTGTGGATGGAGGAGTGACGGAGTCGCGCACGAATGGGGCTTTCTCTGACAGCGCGATATAATGGGGCTCAAAGCGGTGACGTAAGGTACACTGTTGTTATTAAACGGTGCACAACGTTCATGCACTATTCAGACGAGATTCACCAATAATTGTGGACCCCAAACACGTTCAATGCGCGAATTGATGAACCGTGAGATGCGGGGCTTCTTGGCAGAGAATAATTTGTTTCAAAACAAACAACAAAAATTGCTTATCCACATCTAGCTTCGTGACAAGACAGGGAACATCTATATGTTAAAAACAACCAAACCAGATAGAAAACCACTAAGTAAAATCTACAATATCAACATAATATTACAAACAACACAGTATACATTCATAACAAAATCTTTTACATGATGGAGAAATGTAATCAAAACAATAATATAATGCACAAGTCATGATATAGGCATGACATGTTGGAAACTATGTTAAAAAGTAATCAATGTTAGGAAAATATTATTAAACTCTTGTGGTAACATACAAAATAACCAAAAACGAAAAGCCAATAAAAAACATAGCACATAGTACAACTGTTCAATAAATTGCATGACTGCAAATTGGTTACATAATGAGTTACCGAAACTTGGATGATGTGGCAACAATCGACCGACATTTTCACGCAAAGGAGAATCTACGTACGAAGTGTTGGTTGGCAACAAGCCCCACATTTCCCGATCTATCGCCATATCGGTCTAAAACAGCCGACCAATGAAAACGCTCGTAAGCCCCCAAACACAAACACCACGTAAACCTCTGAGAACCATGAACTGTCGTCCACGTGTACAGTGCGCAAGAGCAAACCTAGGTCAACAGAGATAAACGGTGATCCAGCGTGGTGGTCATAAACGGCTAGACAAGACAGCGACAATCTGGAGAAATAAACACAGCGCAAACGATGGTAAACTGCCGTGAACAACGGTACACCGAATTTCA